ATTAGCGAACATAAAAAAGAAGATATGATCACAAAAACAACCACATCCCCACCTTCTTCACCTTCCCCACAACCCCCTTCTCACTCCTCCACCCCCCATCCCCATCACCCTCCCCATTATTATTACCCTCCCCGTCATCTTCCTCCACCTCCCTCCCCCCAACAACCTCCAGATTATATCGATCGGTAACCAAATCCATAACCTCCAACTTCACCAACTTCGTCCTCTTCACCAACTTCCACACCAAGAACATCACCAACATGATCGGCAACTCGATATAATACGAGACGAAATCCACGGCCTTGAAATGCGGGCTAAAGCACGACCAACCCTGAACCAGAATCAGAATGATATTCAGTCCTATGGCAAGAACCGGTCCCACGGGATACGTCCAGTTCTTGTACGGAAGGAGATGTTCCAGGTTCTGTTTGCGGATTGCGACGCGGAAGCGGAGGGAGGCGAGACCGATAAAGGTCCAGGAGAGTTGGTTGGAGACACCGACGATACTATATATTCGTTAGTACTAATTATTAGGATACTTTGGGAGCGAGGGATGGCTTACTTCTGCAGCCACGACCATAACTGGCCGGCGCCAATGTAGCTCGCTCCGAAGCAGAGGCCACTGATAACAGAGGTAGCAAGGACCGCTACCCAGGGGACTTGGAATCGGTTCAGGTGGCCGAAGAAGCGGGGGGCGTAGCCGTCTACGGCGAGGGTGTAGAGAAGTCGAGAGCCGGCGAAGAGGGCGTGGTTGGCGGCGGAGATGACGCTGGTCATGATTACGGCGTTGATGAAGCTGCCAGCGACGGCGCTGCCGGCTTCAACGAAGACGATGGTGAAGGGACTCGTGGCAGTAGTTTCGGAGGATAAGTTCGGGTAGTTGTAGGGGACGTCCAGGCCGATGAGGACGATGGAGACGATGTAGAAGAGAATGATACGCCAGAAGACGTTGCGTACGACACGGGGGAGGTTCTTGGCGGGGTCTTTGGTTTCACCGGCGGTGATGGCGATGGATTCGGTGCCGCCGCTGTGAGTTGGTTAGTATGGAGCTTTCAATGGTGGAGGGTAAACGTACTAGGCGAAAGAGGCTGTGACGAAGACAGAGGCGAAGCCGCCAATACCTCCGACGAAGGGGGCCTCTCCAGTGTAAAAGTACTTGTTTCCGATATATTTGTGTTGGGTGTTTGCGCCGCAGTTTACAACGATACCGAGGATGATGAAGATCTGGTGGTTGGTTAGGATGGATTGACACAGGTTGGTCGAAGTAGGGGAACATACGATGATAGTCACCACTTTGAGAAGACTGAGCCAGTATTCAACCTAAAACAGAGAGTCAG